GACTGGCAGTTTTGGTGAGAAGAACACAGGTGATTGACCCCTCCCTTCCCCCCATGCCATACAACACTGCTAAAAACCACCCTGGTGCCTTCTGGTGACCCCATCTGGGGACTCACCTTGGCACCCAAAAAGGGGCTCCTGCTGCAGGCAGGAGGAGCAGGCAGGGCCACAGCGATGCCCAGCAGCAGCAAAGCCCACCTCCACCCCCCCAGCACCACCCTGGCCCCACAGAGGAGAAGCCCCCGACCCCCCAGAGCTCCCCCACAGCCCTTCAGGCACCTTTACCAAAGGAGGTGTTTTTTCCTCCCTGCACGGAGCCGGGGTGGGGAGGGAGGTGCTGCTACTGCGCCTTTTTTCTTACAGCCCCAAGCCACAGCGTAATTTCCACCGAGCAGCCGTTTCACCTGGGCCACGCCGGGGGGGAAAAAGGGGCGTTTGAAGTCGGCTTTTGGTGACTGCATCTGTGCAAACCGAATTTCTGCTGCGAAGGTGCCTGGGAGGGACGTGTAGGCACCCCTGCCCCGTGTTTGGTGTGTCCCCCGGAGGTATCTGGTGTCCTACTGTGTTCCTGTCCCTGTTTTGGCTCTGGAGTGTGTTTGGACCCCCCCATCTCCCTGCCCTGGGCTGGCCTTTCTGCTCTGGTCAGGTTGGGTTGGTTTGTTCACGGGTGTGGGCGGGCTGAAGGCTGGGCTGACCGCCGTCCCTGATGCTCTTCAAGGCTCACCAGAGTGTCCCTCAGCCAGCTGTGACTCACTGGGTGTCCAGCCCTGCTCTGGCACATCCTCACAGCGACACAAAGGATGCCGACCCCAAAGCTGCCCCTGCAGCAGGAGGGTCTTTGCGCTGAGGCAGCACCAAAAATGGGTTTATCTCAATGTCTGAACCCCCAAACTGGGAAGCAAACCCCAGCAGCCCATCACTGAGCTGCTGCCCGTCCCTACACCGCTCTCACCCACAGCCCTGGGGACAAAACTCCCGCTTTGCCCTGGAAATGGGGGCCTTGGGAAGAGCCCTGTGAGGGGGCCGGTGCTCCCACCCCGGGCAGGGGACGTTGAGACAGCAGCTTTCACCCCAACTGGGAGGGCACAGAGGAGTGGGGGGCACAGGCTGACTCCCCCATCCCTCACCCAGGCGCTCACATCCCCCCACCACTCACTACGAGCCCAAACCTCCATTTCCACCCCTCCGAGGGGCACTCAGAGAGCACACAGACCCCCACTCTCCCGGCGATCCCCATCTCCCATCTCTGCACGGCGCAGACCCTCCCACCCCCAGCTCTTACCTGTTGGCAGGAGGTGATGCCCGGCCCCTCTCAGACCCCCATTCCCTGGCAGCGCTCCCGTCCCCTCCTCACGTCCTGCCCATCCCGCCGGGGGCGCGGGGACCCTGCGGGGCGCGGCGCGGAGCCCCCCGAGGCGCGGGCCGTGCTCCCCGAGGGCGCTCTCGCTCCTGCTCCTGCTCCCGCCTGCCCCGGTTCATTTCCTGCCTCATGAGCAAACTCTCGAGCAGCTCGTTCGCAGCTCGTGCCCGACCGCAAGAGCGAGCGACAAACCCCGAGGGCTTCCTGCCATCCCCGCCGCGAGGGTCCCAGCGCTGGCTGTCCCCTCGCCCGGGGCGTGCTGAGACCCTCGGTGGTGACTGTGGGGTCCCACGGGGTGGGAGAAGGGTCAGGGACAGGCAGGGGGTTGTCACCTGCTGCCCAGTCCCCTGTGCTGTCCCCTCTCCAGGGCTCAGGTTGGCAGTGCCCTGCACCAGCTGCCCCTGACCCCACTGGACCCTACACCCGTTGTAGGACTCATCCTGCACCCCAAAACCCCCTTTTTGGCCACCACTGCTGTGTCACCACAGACTTTGGCACCCAGACAGCCACGGGGGCAGGGGCTGAAGCCAGGGGGACACCCTGTGCCCCTGCCAGGCTGCCAGCCCCGTGTTTTGGAGACAGCTCAGAGCAGAGCAACCACAACACCATTGTCTTGGCTTCTGAGATCAAACACGAAGCCGCAGGTACCAGCTCGGTGAGGCACAGGAAGCCCAGCTGTGTCGGGAGGGGAGGGGGGGGTTGTGGCAGCCTGAGGGGCATATCAGGCTCTCGCACAGCCTGGGAAGGAGAAGCAGCCCCCAAAATGATCCCTGGGTCACCCCACAGCTTCCCTGGGTCTCCCCACGTTGTCCCTGGCACTGCTTGCACACAGGGCCCTGTGGAAGTCACATCCCCAAGCGGCAGCTTGTGCTGTCACCTCCCTCCCCCCCTCCCCGGTCCCCACAGCAGAAATCTTGGAGCCACATCTATGGGGCCAGGAAGGTGCCTGGGTACGTGAAAATACAGAAAAAAACATCAGCTCTCACCTTCACCTCCTTTTATTCCGTCTCAAAGGGCTGCTCCCAACATTTTCCACCGTGCTTGACCCCACTGTCCCTAGGAACAGGCCCCCAGAACGCCCTGTGCCCCATGGGGGTGGTGGCACTTCCCATGGCACTGCCCCTGGAGCAGGGCTGGCAGCACCACGGCTCAGCTCCGCCTGCCCCGAGTCCTGAGGGATTTTGGGAGTGATCCTCGAGCCCTGCCAGGTCCAGATGCACCCGTGGGTGCCTGCGGGGCTCCCACCCGGCCCCCGGGGGGGATCAGCAGAGGGAGAAGCGGCGGGAGTTGATGTTCATGCGGGTGACCCCGATGTGCTTGAGGGGCGTGGAGAGCAGGAAGGCGGCCTTGGGGGGGATGTTGCAGAGCAGATCCGAGTCTTCCTCGCAGCCCTCGAGGCCGAAGGTGGCGTCGTCCAGCATCTCCTTGTGCTGGTGACAGGCCTGCTCCACCTTCAGCCGGTGCAGCCGCGCCCGCAGGCGCATCAGCTGCTGTGCCAGGCGCTGGTCCACAGCCTGCATCTCCCTCTGGAGGGGAGACCGGAGTCAGGATGGAGCGGGATCACCCCCCGGATCAGCTGCAGGGGTGATGGGGCAGCAGGGAGGGGGCTTGGCCAGGGAACAAACCCACCCTGGGACAGCACAGAGCCCACACACGCAGTCCTGTGATGGGCACAATGTCTGATGCCCGTGGGCTTTTTACCCTGTTGCTGCCTCAGGGACAGGCTGCTGGGTGCTCCCAAACACCCTGTGCCCCATGGGGGTGGTGGCATTTCCCATGGCACTGCCCCTGGAGCAGGGCTGGCAGCACCATGGCTCAGCTCTGCCTGCCCTGAGTCCTGAGGGATTTTGGGTGCCACCCTCTGGAAGCCACCACGTGCCACATAAAGGAGTCCACAGCAGCAGTGCCACCAGCAGAGCAGCCAGGGGGGTGACAAGTGCAGACCCCAACAGTGTGGTGAGGGGGCAGGGGCAGAGCTGTGGCACCGCAGAGCCACGTGTGCCTTGCAAAAATCCTCGTGCACCCACCGAGCCGGGCAAAGGAGCAAAGCCCCTGCTGACCCTGCCACGTCCCCTCACTGCTGCGTGAGCTGGGCACGGGGGAGCCCTGTGGTCCCATCTCACCCCTCATCCCACTGTCAGCTACTCACCAGCTCCGTCCTCAGCCACTCCAGAGCCGCCTCCATGGTGGCAAAGCCACAGACGCCACCACCCAGCTGGTCCTCGGGGTGCCCAGGGCCCTGCTCAGCCCCCCGGGCCCCCCCCGAGGTGCCCCAGCGCTGCCCCCTCACCCGGGCCTCCCACTCCAGGTACGAGGGTCTCCGGGTCTGCAGCTTCAGCTTGGCCGTCAGAGCCTTCACACTGTCCAGGTTCTCCTCCTCCCAGGTGGGCTCCTCCTCGCCCAGCTCCTTGAACTTCAGCTGGCTGAGGGCCATGGTGGGACCCCCCGCAGCCCCCCCAACCCCTTGGGTGACCTCTGCCCACTCAACAACCCACCCACCGTGGAAATGAAGCCTCTACCTTAGGCACGACCACCCAACCACCCACTCCCTCACTCCCCCAGCTGTGCCCGGTTCCCAGCTATTTATCCATCCCCCGAGGACAATTCCGATGGGCAGGAATTTCCTTATCCAGAGGAGTGCAAAGGAGGAGGGTTTTTGGGTTTATTCGATGTTGTCGTGATGGGTTTTTTTTGTTGTTTTCCTTTTCGTTTTTAGCATCATTGTCTCCGGCTGGGAGGAGACTCCCCGTTCCCGGACGAAGCCTTCACCGGGCACGGAGGAGCGGGAATGATTTATCCCCGAGCGCAGCCGCCCCCCCCCCGCACCCGGGGGGGGACCCAAAAAAAGCCTAAGGAAGGAAAAAGAAACCGGGGGGGGCACAAGGGGCAGCCGGGGTCCCGCACCCGGACGGGACGTTAAGGTGGAACCGCGTCAGGATCTGCCCTCTCCCCCTTCCTCCCTGCCCCGGGGGGATCCAGGGGCAGCAGCGATGGGGCCCGGGTCTTACCTGTGTCCCACGGGTCTCACCTGCCCCTCGGACGCCCATCCCCGACCCCTCCGGCGCCCCCAGAGTGCCCCCCCAAATTCCACGCGTGCCTCGCCAGTGCTGCGAGAGAGCCCCCGCCTCTCCTTCGCGTGTCCCTCCCACGGCCCCGCGCGTGTCCCCTCGCTCCCGCACCCCACGCGGCGACATCCCCGCCCCCCAGCCCACCCCGGGAGCCCCCCAACCCCGGAGAGCGCCCCGTCTCCCCGGACCGGGCCACCTTAAACCCGACATCCGCCGGCCCGGCCGGGCTGTGCGGGGCATCGCCGCCCCCCCGCTTCCACCCCGAGGTCCCCGCGTGCACCCCCAGGTCCCTCCTCCCACCCCGAGCTCTCCCTCTCGCGCCCCGAGATCCCCCTTTTACACCCCGAAATCCCCCCCCCGCTTGCGCCCTGAGCTCCTCTGCTTGTGTCTGTTGGCACTCTGGGGTCCCCCGCTTGCACCCCAGGGCCCCTGGTGCCACCCCACAGTCTCCTATTGCGCCCTGAGAGTCTTCCTTGCACCCCACGGTCCCTGCTTGCACCCCACGGTCCCCTGTTTATGCCCAGGAGCTCCCTGTGGGCATTCTGAGGTCCCCTGCCTGCACCCCACTGTCCTCCCACTTGCACCCCAAGGTCTCTGCTTGCCACCCGGTCCCCCCTTGCCCCCTGAGATCCCCACCTGCCCCCCCAGCCCAAGCAGGTAAGCAGAGGGGTGGCAGGGGCACTGCCAGGTGCCCACCCTCCTTCTCTTCCTCACCCAGGGGCCTTGGCAGCAGCTCCTGCCCTGTCCCCAGGCCGGGGGGGGGGACACTGTGGGCACAGGGGCCCTGGCAGAGCCCACAGGGCCCTGGCAGCCGGGTCGGGGGGGGGCTGGTGACGGGGTGGCAGGGAAGGATCTGGAGCTGCTCCCTGCATTCCCCTTTTCACCAAAAATCGCCTCCCTGCAGCGCAGCCGGCACGGGATACCTGGCCTGGGGTGGGAGCCTGGGGCCAGCTCGGCCCCCCCCGCCCCGTGCCTCAGTTTCCCCGGGGAGGAAACGTCCCCCTGGCTGCGTTTCGCAGCTCCGTCCGCTGTAGGTGACAGTGCAAACACCCAGAGGGGGTGAGGCCGTGACGCAGAGGGAAGAAGGGGTTTCCAGCCGGGCCGTGCGCCGCAGGATTTCCCCTTTCTCCCTCCCCAGTCCCCCGCGCCGGGCAGAGCCGGCCATGGAGTTCTCGGAGCTGATCAAGACGGCGACGGTGGAGAACGTGCTGCTGTCGTGCGCGGGGCTGCCGGCGGTGAGGGGCACCCTGTGCATCACCAGCCACCACCTGCTCCTCTCCTCCTGCCCCGGCGGGGACGTGGAGCTCTGGCTGCTCATCCGCAACGTGGACGCCGTGGAGAAGAGGTGCGTGCGCTGGTCCCCGCCCCGCGGCTGCCCCGCGCTCCCTCCCGGCCCTGTCACCCCTTCCTCCCGAGCTGGAGCATTCCCGAGCAGAGCACGGCCACCCCTGGGTGCTGCCCGCCGAGCCTTGTCCTTCCTCTTCCTCACGGCCCAGCACGGCAGCACCGGGCGCTGACCTCCTCTTCTCCTCAGAGTGCAGAATTTAGGCTGGTACCAGCCCCCCCGGACTAACAGCTCCGCCCGGGACACCAGGTTTGGCTTTTAACGCTCCCTTGGCTCTGCCAACCACCGCGGCGCCCGCCGTGCCCCGTCCAGGGCAGGGAGACAGTGGAAATCCCGGCTCCGGGGGCAGACGAGAGCCAGAGATTTGGCAACCACACCAGCACAGCCCTCGGGGGGAAGAGGGCAGCTCGGCGCTGTCTGTGTGTCCGTCTGTGCGCGCACGGACCCCCGGCCAGCCCCGACCCCCCTCCTGCCTCCCCCAGGCTCACCGGCTCCTCCGGCACCATCACGCTCCGGTGCAAAGACCTGAAGGTGCTGCAGCTGGAGATCCCGGGCATGGAGGAGTGTCTCAACATCGCCAGCTCCATCGAGGTGAGCCCCGGGCAGCAAAGGGTTGCCAGGGCAAAGCGGCCCCGCCGTGTTTGCTCTGCGTCTGTCGTTCGCTGGGTAAATAAGCACTCGGCTCCGGCAGCGCTGGCACAGGGTGCCCCGTGGGGCCGCTGGTGCTGCCCAGCCCTGGCCTGGTGCTGGGATGTGGCCAGGAGCAGGGAACAGCCACGGGGTTTGCAGAGCCCTGGGGACATTCCCAGCCACGTCCCCTGCCCCGTGACCAGCGCCGCCTTTGCTCTCGCTCCAGGCCCTCTCCTCGGTGGACTCCGTGATGATGATGTACCCGTTCTTCTACAGACCCCCGAGCCTGAAGCTCGAGGAAGGATGGCACCAGTTCCCCCTCGAGCAGTACTTCCAACAGATCTCCTCGCAGGTGAGGCTGGAAGGAGACCCGACTCCCCCTACCCATAGCGGGCTGGGCAGCAGGGCTCCCCCTGACCCCGTGTCTGCCCCAGACGAGCCAGTGGCGGCTGAGCACCGTGAACCAGGACTTCAGCACCTGCCCCACGTACCCTCCCGCCGTGATTGTGCCGGCGGCCGTGGGCGATGAGGCCCTGAGAAAGGCTGCCCGGTTCCGGCAGGGCGGGAGGTTCCCCGTCCTCAGCTACTTCCACCCCAAAAACCGCACCGTGAGTCCGCCCCGCCCCCCCGTCCCCTCTCCCACTGCTGCCAGCCCTCTGGGAAAGGTGGCTGGAAGCCCCCCCATGCTGTGGGTCCCCCAGTGCTCCCCATCTCTCACCCTGCAGGTGATGCTCCGCAGCAGCCAACCCCTGACGGGACCCAACCGCAGGCGGTGCCGGGAGGACGAGACGCTGCTGGGGACGATCCTGGACGAGGGGGAGAGGGGCTTCATCATCGACACACGCTCGGCCCAGGCAGCAAAGCAGGCTCGGATGACCGGGGGAGGCACAGAGCCCAAATCCTCCTACCCACAGTGGAGGAGGCTGCACCGGCCCCTGGAGAGGTGAGGGCTGTGCTGAGCCCTGGCACTCTCGTGACATGGGGGTGATCGCACTGCCTGGCAGGACGTGGGGGGTCCATCCCCACAAAAGAGTCACCAAGCCCCCAGCACCTCTCTCCCCGCTCCCAGGGGCCGCCCGCTGCAGGAGAGCTTCGCCAAGCTGGTGGAAGCCTGCAGTGACCCCTCCCTGAGCATGGACCGGTGGCTGGGCCGGCTGGAGAGCAGCCGCTGGCTCAGCCACGTCAAGGCAGCCCTGAGCACAGCCTGCCTGGCTGCCCAGTGCATGGACAGGTAAGGGGGCTGCACCCCAAAGCCCCTCCTTCCCCCAACTCCCAGCGTGGCACAAAATCCGGGCGCCATCCCGGGTTGATCCCAACAGGGAGGAGGCCACGGTGCTGGTGCACGGGGCGGAGGGGACGGACACGACGCTGCTGGTGACAGCGCTGGCCCAGGTGATCCTGGACCCGTCCTGCCGCACCCTGGTGGGATTCCAGGGGCTGCTGGAGCGGGAGTGGATCCAGGTGAGAACAGCAGCTCCGAGGGGGATGGGGATCCCAGCCTGGCCGGGCATCCTCAGCCCCATATCCCCCCCCCCTCGGGGTCCCACAGGCCGGACACCCCTTCCACCTCCGCTGCGCCCACTCCGCCTATTCCCACGCCCGGCTGAAGCAGGAGGCACCGCTTTTCCTGCTCTTCCTCGACTGTGTGTGGCAGCTGAGCCGCCAGTTCCCCTTCTCCCTGGAATTTGGGGAGCGCCTCCTCCTCTCCCTCTTCGACAACGCCTACGCCTCGGCCTACGGCACCTTCCTCTGCAACAACGAGAAGGAGAGGTGAGAGGGGTGGGGACAGCGCTGTCCCCAGGGAGCAACTCCAGCAAATCCCCTCCTGGTCACGGTTTGGGTCACGGCAAACCCCGAGAGCCCTGGCAGGGACTGAAACACATCCCCGTGTCCCACAGGAGCCTGTGCAAGGTGAAGGAGAGCACACACTCGCTCTGGGCCTGGCTGAACCGGCCTGAGGAGCAGCAGAAGCTCCTGAACCCTCTCTACTCCCACAACGCCCTGGTGATCTGGCCCTCCGTGGAGCCCCAGAGCATCCAGCTCTGGCAGGGTGAGCGGGATCCTCCCAAAATCCATCCTCAGCCCCGAGCTGGGCTGGCTGAGGGGAAGCTGCTCTGCCTTTCCCTCGCTGACAGGGCTGAAATAACACCCAGCCCCTTCTCTCCCAGGTTTATTCCTCCGTTGGATCCGTCCATCCCAGCACCTGGATGAGGCCTGGGCAGAGATCCAGCGGTTGGTTGAGGAAAACAACACCCCTGCCAAGGAAAGCACAGGGAACAGGCTGAGCCAGTCCCTCTCTGACCACACTGCTGGGATGGAGAACAGGAGATGAAGGGCAGCACGGGCAGTTCAGTCCCATGGGATGCCAGGACAAGGCAACACTGAAGCTTCCTGTGGGAAGTGCTGTGCTGGACACAGACCCCACGGACAGCTCTGGGAGGGAGGAACAGACACCCTTTCCCAGCCTTTGGGCTGCCCAGACTGAGCTTGTTTCAGTAAAGCCTCTCTCCCAGCCCACACTGGCATTCCGCTCTTCCATAGGGGCAGGAGGAAGATGCTCCTTCCCAGTGGGATTTCGGCAGCACTTGTGGATGGCTGTGGAGCAGGACATCAACCTGCCTGCCAGCCAGGCACAGCAAAACCAGGAGCTCACACTAAACCAACACCCTCTCCACAGAAGGCACAGAGGCTGCAGCCTCACTGTTCCATCAGCTGTTCCAAGCTGGGAGAGCCGGGCTGGGAATTCTGCCCTTGAACCCAGATTTGAGGAAGGAAAGAGAAACAAACCACCCCTCTCGACAGGCAGGGTGAGACAGGGGGGAAGGATGAGGAGCACGAGCTCCTAGAGCAGGAAATAACTGTTCCATGAGGAAAGTTGGCCCAGGGTCAGCCCAGCAGATAAACAAAGCGGCCGGGCCGGGCGCGTGCGTGTCAGCTGGAAAACAATTCCTGGCTGCTGCACTTCCAGCCTCTTCACACTTCAGGGCTGGACCTGAGGGTCACTCCCTGGGAAAGAGTTAAGCCAGGATGGGCAGAGGTCCCGGGAGGAGCAGCACTGTCTGTCTGTCCATGGGTGTGGAACAAGGCACTGGCAACAGAGCCAGGAAAACAAAGTCCTTGGGTTAACTGGGGAAAAAAAACCAACCAAAAAAACCCCACAGAGGTGCTTTGCCTTGTGTTTACGAAAGATTTCTATTTATTTCCTGATGATTTTTTCCCTCCCCTGATGTATAAATATGCCCAGTAGGCAGGAAGCCCCCGGGGCAGGCAGGCAGCCAACCCAGCAACCTTCCCACAAAAGCCATTCCTGCCCTTTGGAGCTGGCTGAGTTTCCACTTCCCCACCTTCACACAGCACCCAAAATGCAGCAGGAGAACTTCAGGCCCTACAGCAGCCCCGTGACAGAGCAGATGGACTGGGCAAGGGGTTGGAGGAGAAAAAGGAGGAGGACAGGAGAGGGAAATCCTCCTTCAGGCTTCAAACTCAAACTCGAAGTACTGGGGATCGAAGTAGTGGATGCGGACGTAGCCATCCTCACCCCCACTGCTGTAACTGCAGGGAGGAAAGGGACAGTCAGGAACGCTGCAGGAGCAGCCAGGGGCAAGTCTGGCCTCACAGCCCCCTCCTGGAACTAACACAGGAGTCACAAGGCAAAGAAAGGATCGGTGAGGCAGCCAAAGTGTGGAACAGGGTGTTGGTGACCCCCTGGGCTGGCCTGAGGGGACGCTGGAATGGGAGGATTAAGATGCTGGTTCTGCTCCCAGCACAGGGATCCTGTAGGTCCAGACATATCCCAACTAAAAAGTGGGATTGCCTGGGCTGGGACACACTGCAAGACCCCCAGAGAGCCTCACCTCTTCCCATCAGGGTGAAACGCGACGCTGTTGATGGGACCGAAGTGACCCTTCACTCTGCCAAACTCTTCCTCAAAAGCCAAGTGGAAGAACCTGGGAGAAGGAAGATTTACACTGTCACAAGGAGCTGGGAGCCTGGAAGGGGCACAATCAGGAACTCCTCAAACAAGCTCTGCATGTTCAAGGACTCCTCCAGGAGCAGGGTGCTCCGGGAACAGCGTTCTGAGCTGTCAGGAGCTCTCCAGGTGAGGGAAAGGACCTGCCTGGCCTCAAATTTGCCAATCCTGGTGGAGGTTGTGGTCACATCCATGGCCTCCTGCCCACCACCAAGCACGACCTGCAAAGGAGAGAAGCCACCACCCTTCAGTGCTGCTTGTCCCACACTCAGGGGCAGCTGGGGGAGGAGGGGGCAGAGCCTTTGGGGAATCCCAGAACCACTGAGGCTGGAAATCAGAGGGCACAAAGCCTCGTTCCCTGTGCCAGAGCCAGCAAAATTCCCCAGCCCCATTGCACAGTCCTGGTTTTCAGCTGGGCTGGGGACACTCACGCTGGTGACACAACTCAGGGGTGACACTGAGGGAGCTCATCCTTACGTGGTCAAAGATGGGGGAGAGGGCGGCGGAGTTCACCGGTCGCTCCGTCCGGAACGTCTTCAGGTGCTCCAGGGACGTGCAGTCAAAGAGCTACGAGGCAAAAAGGCAGAGAGTTCATTAATTAACTCACACAAATCCAGCTGCTGGGCCTCACCTGGGCAGGTGCAGTCACTCCTGGACACTCAAATCCCAAAATGTACTTCCCCAGAATGCCAAAACACCGGCCTAAGGTAAACCTGTCGCCTTCCAGAGGTGGCAAGCTGCCAATATATTCTGGAAAATGCCAACAGTACTCTGGAAATGCCAAAATAATTTCATTTTCAATGCCTGACTGATAACTTCACACGGTGGCATCTCCCCCTTCTCACTGAGCTTTCCCACTGAGCTTTGCCTTTCCACTTCCTCAAATCCCTGAGGAGGAAAAAAACCCCTGTGATAAGCTCTGAGGAGAGGTCCTGCCAGGAATTATCCACTGCTGATGGAAAACCTCACCTTGGCCGTGTTGTCCTTGGAGGCTGTGATGAACATGGTCATGTCCCTGGAGGTCTGGATGTCGTTGATTTGCTTGGTGTGCTCCTTGATGTTCGACAGCTGCTCCCCTGACTGAGGGGGAAGAGGCAGTTTCAGAGAGCTGGGAAGAGTCCTCCTCATTGAAAATAATTTAGGAGATCATGGAATAGCATCCTGGGATGGTGTGGGTTGGAAGGGAACTTGAAGATCATCTCACTCCACCTGAGCAGGGGGGGTTGGCACATCCGCCTTGCTCAGGGGAGCCACAAATTTGAACTACCCTTCCATGAAGCTGCTGTTTGGAGCCCCAAAATCCTACAGTTTGCCCCTGAACCCCACAGGAACGCTGTGCCATCCTCCCCCCACCCCAGTCCCTGACCTTGGCACTGAACTGGTTGAGCTCCCCACTCTCGTGGCCCGCGATGATGAACTCCCCGAGCGGGCCCCACACGGCGCTGGTGATCTTGGAGTCGCTGCAGGGGATCTTCATGTAGGGCTCGTTGTTCTCTGAGGGAGGGGACAGACACACAGAGAGGTGGCACAGCCCTCCACACCCTCCCCCAGCCCCTCCCCAGCCCCGGGGAGGATCCCTCACCGATCTGGGCGGGGTCCCGCAGGTCGAAGAAGCTCACGAAGCACTGGTAGCCCATCTGCTTGTCCGTGGAGAACATGATGATGTTCCCCCCAAAGTCGAAGCCACACGTCCTCACAGCACTGCTGGTCTTCACCAGGGCCAGCTGCTTCCCTGGGGGGGACAGGGACATCAGCTCAGGGGGCTGAGGGGGAGTTATGGGATGGGGAAGGGGTGGCAGGGGCGGCAGGAGGGTCAGGGGATCCCTGACTTGGGATCTGCAGAATCACTTGTGAGTCACAGACCACCGGATCTTGGGGGGCTTTTCTGAGCTTAATCATGGAATAACAGAATGCTTTGGGTTGGAAGGGACATTATGGATCACCTTTTCCACCCTCTGCCTGCAGGGACACCTGACGCTATCCAGCCTGGTCTTGGATACTTCCAGGGATGGGACAGCCCCAGCTTCTCTGGGAAATCCATTCCAGCCCCCCCCCCACCCTCACAGTGAAGAATTCCTTCCCAATCTCTCACCTAAATCTCCCCTTTTCCAGCTTAAAGCCATTCCCCCTTGTCCTGTCCCTCCATCCCTTGTCCCAGGTCTGTCTCCAGCTCCCTCTGAGCCCCTTCAGGCACTGGAAGGGTCCCCAAGGTCTCCTCCCCAGGCTGAACACCCCCAGCTCTCCATGGCAGAGCTGCCCCATCCCTGTGGATGCCCTGCAGATGCCAGGCAGGGATTTTGGGAAGGGCTTTACCTGTCTCACAGTCCCAGAGCCGGCAGCTGTTGTCGGCAGAGCCCGTGAGCACGTGCCGTGTGTCCCCTGGGTGTCACCAGTCAGGGAAGGACATGGATAAATTTTTTAGATCTGTACAAATTTTGTAGATATATATGTGTAAAAATTCCATCTATATAAAAATACATATGGAAAATATAACAGTTTAAGTAAAAGTATCAAGATCAGAGTAAGAGGTGGGAATGACCCCAGAGGCAGAAATATGTAATATATGTATTTATATATATAATTGGATATATATAACAATAAATTTATATTAAAATGTATATATAAATGTAAATGTATATAAAACATATTATATATATATAAATTCCACATATATAAAAATATACACGGAATATTTAAGAATTTAAGTGAAGGTATGTCAGAATAAGAGGCAGGAATGATCCCAGAGGCAGAAATATGGAATATATATACTTACATAGATAAAAGATTATATATTGCATATACAAAAATAATTATATATATGGAATTTTTATATATATATATAAATTCCATACATATAAATTCCCTACCTATATTCAATATATATATATAAAAATATAGATGGAATATTCAAGAGCTGAAGTGCAGAGATCAAGGGTAAAGCAGCAGGAAGGATCCCAGGGGCAGCCTAATGGGAAGAATCCCGGGCTAAAACATGGGATCAAACCGGTCTTTTTTTGGGGGGGATTAAAAAGGATACAGTCGGCATCCACACACCACACAGCCCCCGTGTGCCCGTTGTAGGTGCCCAGCCTCTCGCCGTTCACCGAATACCACACGTTGACGATCTGCGAGGCGAAAAAAAACACGCGCGGATTAATCAACAATAAACTAACGAATTATGGCGGGGGTGGTAAGGGGGGGGGAGCACTCACGGGATCCTTGGCCACGGTGAACAGCAGGTCTCCCTCGCGGTTGTATTTGATCTGCGTAATGGAGCGCTCATGGCCTTGCAGCAGGATAGGCTTCTGTAATTATTAAGTTATTAATTAATGAGTGAGGGGAGGTGGAGAAGGAAAGGGAGGGTGAGGCGGGGGGGCGAGCGCGGCCCCCGGTCCGGGGCCCCAGGAGCCCCGGACCAGGGGGCTTTGAGCCGCNGCGCTCATGGCCTTGCAGCAGGATAGGCTTCTGTAATTATTAAGTTATTAATTAATGAGTGAGGGGAGGTGGAGAAGGAAAGGGAGGGTGAGGCGCGGGGGAGCGGCCAAGCCGCCCCCCCGCGCCCCAGGAGCCCCGGACCAGGGGGCTTTGAGCCGCTGAATCGTCGGGAGCGGCCACAAATCGCGACAACCGCGACCACCCCGCTCCGGTCTTACCATGGCGGCCACGCTGAGGAGAGAGGAAGGCGGTCACTTCCGGGTTGAGGAGTCGCAGAAGAAATGCGTCACGGGGTCGCCATGGCAACAGCGCCGGGCTTCCGGTCCGACCAGGAAGTGAAGAGCCGTTGCCATGGCGACCGCGGGTGAGGGGAAGGAGATGGCGGCGGGGAAAGGGGATGTGAGGGTGTCCCTGGAGCGGGAGGGAGGTTGTGGAGAGCGGGGTTGGGTTGTCGCGGGTAAACGGGGATGGAGGCGTGGGATGGGTGAGGTTCGCAGGGATCTTGAAGATCGCCTGATTCCAACCCCCTGCCACGGGCAGGGACACCTTCCACTACCCCAAGTTGCTCCAACCTGGCCTTGGACACTCCCAGGGATGGGGCAGCCGCAGCTTCTCTGGGAAATCCATTCCAGCCCCTTCCCACCCTCGCAGGGAAGAATTTTTTCCCAATATCCCACTTGAATCTCCACTTTTCCGATGTGAAGCCGTTCCCCTTTGTCCTGTCCCTCCAGCCCTTGTGAATAGTCTCTCCCCATGTTCCTTGTAGACCCTTCAGGTCCTGGAAGGCCACAATGAGGTCACCCCGAGGCTTCTCCAGACTGAACAATCCCAATTCCCTCAACCTTTCTTCCCAGCAGAGCTGCTCCATCCCTCTGACCACCTTGGTGCCTCCTCTGGACTCGCCCCAGCAGCTCCGTGTCCTTCAGCAGGACCAGGAGAAACGACCCCAAGCTCTGCCAGGGGAGGGATAACAGGAAAAAATTCCTCACAGGAAGGGTGGTCAGGCCTTGGAAGGGGCTGTCCAGGGATGTGGTGGAGTTCCCCTCCCTGGGGAGGTCCAAACCATCCCTGGAGTGTCCAAACCATCCCTGGGACTGTCCAAATCATCCCTGGAGGTGTCCAAACGACAAGTGGATGTGACACTTTGTGAGAGGGTTTATTGGGCTTGGGGGCTCACGGTTGGATTTGACAATCTGGGAGAGCTTTTCCAGCCTTAAAGCCCATCCAGTCCCACCCCCTGCCATGGGCAGGGACACCTTCCCCTATCCCAGGTTGCTCCACCCTGGCCTGGGACACTCCCGGGTGTTCCAAGGTGGGTGAGGGCCGTCCCTTGGGCTCTGTGGGATCCCAGGAGCCCCATCCCGCTGATCCCGGTGTTCCACAGGGCAGGTGGTGTCCCTGGCGCTGGTGGCCGTGCTGTGGGGCGGGAGCAGCCCCTTCCTGAGGGCGGGAGCAGCGGGAATGGAGGATGTTCGGGGCCGGGGCCACCTGGGGCAGCTCCTGGCCGAGATCCGCTTCCTTGGCCTGAACTGCAAGGTGGGAGCTGGAGCAGGGCGTGGCAGGGATCAAACTGGGATCACTCCTGCTTCTTCACTCAGCCTTTGATGCCTTTGCTCAAGCTGTTCAATGTTCCATGTATATTTTTATGTTTATGGAATTTATATGTGGAATATGTATTCCGTATTCCCGCCTTTGAGATCATTCCTGTCTCTCACTCTGGCCTCAGTACCTTCACTTCAACTCTTAAATATTCCATATATGTTTATATGTGTATGCAATATATATAAGAAATTTTTATGTATTTTTAGATCTATACTATTCTTAATACATATATTTATATATTTTTATATTTGTGTATATTCTATATCTTTATATATAAATATATACATATATTCCATATTCCTGCCTCTGGGATCATTCCTACCTCTTATTTATACATATATTCCATTTTCCTGCCTCTGGGACTGTTCCTACCTCTTACTCTGGCCTCGATACCTTCAATTCAACTCTTAAATATTCCATATATGTTTTTATGTGTATGAAATATATATAAGAAATTTTTATGTATTTTTAGATCTATACTATTCTTAATACATATATATATATTTTTATATTTGTGTATATTCTATATATTTATATATAAATAAATACATATATTCCATATTCCTGCCTCTGGGATCATTCCTACCTCTTACTGTGGCCTTGATACCTTCACTAAAACTGTTACATATTCCACGTGTATTTTTATAAATATGGAAATTCTATCTATATAATTTATATAAATATATATACATATGTATGCATGTATTCTATATATATTCCATATTCCTGCCCCTGGGATTGTTGCTACCTGCTTACTCTGACTTCAATAACTTCACTTAAACTGTTAAATATTCCATATGTATTTTTATATGTATTCCTTATATATTCCATATTCCTCCCTCTGGGATCGTTCCTGCGTCTCACTCTGGCCTTGATACCTTTATTTCACTGTGAAATATTCCATATATCATCAGAATTCCTTACCCTCAGCCATATTTCATTTAATTCCCTGTAGCTCTGCCCTCCCTGTGCAGGACTGAGATGTTTTTGGAGGTGTCAGGTCATCAACCCTCATATTTTGCATGGAATAAGCTCAGTGTCAAAATTCCTTTGGCATCATTCCTACCTGCTCCTGGCCTCGATACCCTCACTTAAACTGTGAAATATTCCATCCCTGTTTTTATATATGAGGGATTTATGTGTGCACTGCTGACAGGTTTGTGCTCTCCCTGCAGTACATGGTGCCCTTTCTGCTCAACCAAGGTGGATCCCTCCTCTTTTACCTCACCTTGGCATCCACAGGTCAGTCCTTGTCGCTTTTTTGTTGTGTCTTGGTGAGGATTTTGGGAGGATCAGTGGTTTCATTGATGACTTAACCCAACACCCAGCAGCTGCTTTGGAATCACCCCAAATAAACCAAGAACCTCCATGTTAAGCTCTGTTAAACCTCCCCTTCCAGACCTGTCCCTGGCAGTCCCACTCTGCAACTCCCTGGCTTTGGTGGTGACCCTGGTGACTGGCAGGATCCTGGGAGAGGATGTTGGTGGCAAACGTAAGTCACACTTCAGGCATTCCCTCCCCTGCATCTGTTGGCTGATTTAGGGTGTGAAAACAGCAAATACCCCCCCAAGGCTTTGCCTGGTTCAGCAGCAGCTCTTGCTGCAGACCCTGAAAGGGAAGTGAAACAGATTTGTGGGCAGGGCTGGTAAATTTAAATTTAGAACTGGCTGTTCTAAGCTAAAAGAGCTTATAAACCTAACTAGATGTTGAACCACAACAGAAGCACTAAATAATGTGCCCACCATAGAAAAGAAGAGGCTCATAAGCCCCTAAATGTCAACACCCATCCTCCTTTCCTTCCCTGATGTCCTGCACTGACACTGCCCTGCTCAGAAGGGCAGAAAAAGGCAGGGAACTGGAAAGTTTAAAACTCCAGCACCTGGAACAAGAGCTGTAGGAAAAGGAGCTGTAGAACAAGAGCTGTAGGAAAAGGAGCTGTAGAACAGGAGCTGTAGGAACAGGAGCTGTAGGAACAGGAGCTGTCAGAACACACTGAGCTGTTTAGTTGTTGTTGTTCAGCCTGGATCTCTCCAACAGACACAGAACATGGGTGACATTTCCTTGGAAACATCCCGTGCTCAGTGTACAGGGACAGTCTGAGCATCCAAACCCCCTCAGAACTCGCCTGGCCCAGGCTGGACCTGCCCAGACATCCCTGCCCTGTGACACCTGAGCATTGTCTGAACTGTGCAGACAATCACAGAATGGGATGGGTTGGGAGGGACCTTCAAGATCATCTCATTCCAACCCCTCCTGCCTGTTCTTGATAAGCACATTCCCGATATGTTCATTCCCACAGGGGCTGTGGCAGGAATGCTGCTTACCATCCTGGGGGTCTCACTGTGTCTGGCTGGTTCAGGAACAAGAAGCAGAGGGACAGAACCTGACCAAGGGTAACCCCCCCCCTGTGGCTGAGGGGGCTCCTGGCTCAGCCACGCCTGGGAAAGGTGGATTTTGACACAGAGATGTCAAAACCCATGGACTGTATTCCCTGAGCACCAGGGTGGAACAAAGCACATCCCATTCCATGTCTTAAGGAATTTTTTTGTGGGTGTTTCAAGACGACGACAGTTGAATTTGCTCAGCACCGAAGGGGCAATAAGGGGTTAATAAATCATTCAGTGGGACCTTCTGGGACTGACTGATTTTTGATTAGAAGGAATTTTTTTAGGAATTCCTCCTTCTTGTAGCCAAGCAAGTGAAAATGGCTTTTTCTGCTGTGCTCAGCTGTCCCAGCTCACACTGCACAGCCCCTTACTCAGAGGTTACTACAGGGCTTTGCTCAGAGTTCCTCTCGTCCATCAAACACCCACAAGTGCAGTGTGTCCCTAAGGAAGGAAGGGTGGGTTCCTTTTCAGTGAAATTATCAGTCCAAAGTACCAGAGAAATCACAGAAGGAAAAAAAAAATAATCATTGTCACCCCTGTAATTAATGAGAAACTCCAGGGAGGGAAATCAGAAAGCCTTGCCCAGGGAGGGTGATGCAGGAGCTGTTTATTCCTGTGACTTTTCCTAAATCAGGGAGATGTTCCCAAGACAGAAATAAAATATATATGGATTTGGGAACAGCTTTAATTGCTGCAAACATTATCCAGGCACTGCAAATCAGAGGGACAACGGTACAGTGAAATGTCTTTCTAAGAAATACCCCACATAGAGCAAACCCTGGCAGGTGTTTTGTTATTAAAACATGTTTTCTGTTTGGTAATTCTTCCTTCCCCAGTTCAGCTACAAACCAGCCGATTTAGAGCTCAGAAGAGCAGCCATTTCCTCTGAGAAAAAAAGGGGAAAATCTTCATTATTTAACAACACTGTGCATCTGAATAAAACCAACTGCACAGGAATGTGATCCGGGGGGGGAAAGCCAAGGGAAAGCAGCAGCATTGGAGCACCCAGTGCAGCAAACACAGCACAACAAGGGTCAGGAACCACCAGCTAAAGCTTCACCAGGGCTTTCTCTAATTTCACTTCAAAGGAATTGTCTTCCTTTGAAGTTCTAATTAACCCAGAGACACCACTGAGGCAGAGCTGAGTCACCTACGCTGTCCCCTATTGCAGCAATCCTGAATATCCTCAGGAAAAGCTGGAATCATTAACACACCACTGACAACAAGAATTTTGCTGACCTCGTCGTGCAGAATATTGTTTTAGAAAGAACTATTTTTTTCCCTCTTTTTTAAAGCAAAGGTTTGAACTTCTGTTACTAAAATAAGTGTGTTCAAGTCATTTGAAGAATTAGGTGGTTATTCCCTGGCGGATTCTGAGCTTCACCTGGATACAGGTAAGTTCTGCTTAAGGAACTTCAGGAATTGCAGTGGGAGGAATCTGATCACAGGAATGTTCTCCCCCACTCCACAGAACCAGTGAGGGGAATAAATACCTTTCTGTGGTGTCTCATTTTGGGTTTTCATGTAAATTCTTCTGTGACAGGAGTGAGGATGGAAACACAGAAGAATCCAGGAGAGCCTTTGCAGTCCTTACTGGAGTGGGAAGCTGCAGCTTTCACGTTCCAGAAGGGAATTGTTCATTCTCCAGATGGGATTTCTTGCCTTTCTAACACACGAGGCCCTGCAGTGACACCGTGCTGTGGTGTCTCAAGTTCCCCCTCGTGGTTACTCTCGGCTTTACACATCGGAGAGCAGCTCAGCGTGTCCTAAACCTGATAAATAGGATTTCAGTGAGAAAACAAGGACTTCCCCAAGGAATTGCTGTGAACTCTCGATTGGCCCTTGGGGCTGAGCCATTCCAGGGGGACTCTGGAGCAGGGAGGTTCCAGACAGGCGGGAAATCCCCTCTCAGACCTGGTCAATGGGTACATCCAGCCTGGTGTGTTCACCCTCTTCCCGAGCACCTCTCATCTCCCTCCTTGGATCCCTGGGTTTGGAGAGGCTTTTTCCTGTGAGGAAAAGGAAAGGGAAAAGCTGTTCCATGGGTGTTGCATGGCCTGGTCATGCTGAGGCTGCAGAATCCTGGTGTGTGCCCAGGTGAGGAGGGGAAAGAAGAACTGCAGGAATTGCTGGATGCATCCCTGCCTGCTGTCAGGGCAGGAGTCCTGTCCTTCAGCATCATAAATCCAGCCCCCTCCACACTCACACCTTCACCTGGGCCAGGCTGCACACTCCTGCTGCTCCTTCTGTTCTGTCCTGCACGCACAGGTTTGACATGGAAAATGGGCTCTTCCTCCTCGAGGGGAGATTCCCTGGCTGGAATTTGCAGCTGTGGGAAGGCAGGTGGGATCTTGCCTTTCTCTGCAGCTCCCGTGGCCTGCACCCTGCGACTGCCCAGCTGAAAAAAAACCATCACAGTTTATAAAAGAGAAGTTGTGCAGGGCAGTCCCTAAACACTCAAATTCCTGCTGTTTTCCTTGATCCCGACTGGTACAAAGCTGTAACTGTAACAAGAGGGTTTCAGGGAGAGGCTGTGGCTGCCCCATCCCTGGAAGTGTCCAAGGCCAGGCTGGACAGGGCTTGGAGCAACCTGGGCTGGTGGAAGGTGTCCCTGCCCCTGGCAGGGGGTGGCACTGGATGAGCTTTAAAGTCCCTCCCAACCCAAACCATTCCATGATTCCATGACTGCAGCACGAACCACTCTGTGCCACTGAGCACTCACCCTGCCCTGGCTCTTTTTTTGCCTGTTTTTTGGGTGGTTCCTGTAACAAAGAAGCGAATTCCAGCGTCAGGCAGAGGTCAGCTGAGGGAGGGCACAGTCCCCTCTTTTCCCAGAGGAGAAGGGGCCCAGAGGTGTTTTTCACATTCCACAGTGGATCCCATCAGGTGATACCACACTGCCCACCACAGGCCTGGGAAATTCCGTGGATAATGGGCAGGGGTCCCTCTCAGTGCTCCATGAACATGCAGCTGAAAAACAGCCCATTTGCTTCCTCTGGCACTCAACCCTGGATTTCAGGGACTAACCAAAAACCTTTGAAAACATTCTTCCTTCCCTGAACTCCCAACACACGAAGCACAACTCAAACCCTGGCACAGGCAGAGGGAACAGAGGGGGGCACAAAAAGGATGGCTCTGCCTGAAGGATGCCACAGAGGGAATTCCTTACACCCCTTGGCCACAGCCCACTCACCCCAGTGTCCTGCACTCCTGGGGCACCAGCAGCTCCCTGTAGGGCAGGGGTTTGTACTCCTCCTTTCCCACTGCCACGTAGTGATGGCCATTCTCCAGCTCCTCCCCTCCGCACACCGGGGTCCCATCCAGCCTGCAGAGCCTGGAGGAAGGAGACAGCAAAGGGATCAGGGCTCTGGCAATCCCTGAACAGCCCCCTCAGCGTGGAAAACAAGGGCAGAGTGGGAAACGAGGCAGAGGATCCATCATTCTTAGTGTTGCTCTGAGGAAGTCACAAAAATCACGCCCAGTGATCAGTGAGATGCAATAGATCCCAGCTTTCTCCTTGGCTAAATTGATGTTTGGGGAGGAATTAGGTTTTCTTCCCCTCCCTCAAGACATAAATTCCTTTTTATCCCACCGTTGTGGGGTTTTTTTCCTGTTCGCTTATTGCTTTTTCACCAGCATCACAAAGCACCCAGGACATTGGGGTTATCCCTGATTTAGTGATGGGAAAACCTGAAAAGCAAACAAGTTTGCAAAAGCAGATGGTCTGAACTTCCAGCCAGAGCTCCCTATGTTCTGGATCTGTGGGAAGTGTCTTCCCTGGATACCCACTTGTTAACGGCTCCACTGCCCAACTCCACTTTCTCTGTCAGCGTGGCCAGGAGCGTGTCCCACTCCAGTGGGATCCTCTTGGGGAGCACCAGTGGGAAAGGAGGGCTCAGCAGATCCCCATTCTGGAAAACACTGCAGGAGAAGCAGCCCAGAGCACGGGATGAGCCAGCATTCCCAGAGCTGT